ATGCATGGGCTGGACTTAGACCCCTTACATATATATATGTAGCAGATGTGCAGCTTGGTCTTCATGTGATTCCCCTAAAAACTGAAGCAGGGGCTGTCTCTGACTCTGTTGTCTGCCTTTGGATTCTTTTCTCCTAGCTGGGTTGCTTTATTTTGCCTCAGTGGGAGAGGATGTGCTTAGTCCTGCTGGGACATGATACCCATGTGGGGCCTCCCTTTCTCTGAGGAGGGAAGTGGAGAAGAGGGAGTGTGAGGATGGAACTGGGAGGAGGGGGGCTGCAATTAGGATGTAAAGTGAATAAATAAATACATTAATAGAAAAAATAAAAATTAAAAAAGGCAATATAGGGTCAGGCCTGGTGGCATAGATTCTAATGCCAGCACTTGGAGACAAAGTTAGGTGAATCTCTAAATTTGAGATTTGGATATATCACCAACCTGCTCTCTATGCTTTTTTTTTTTTAACACAAATAAATTTTCTGTTTTTCATGTGTATGTATATATATTTTTACTCTTTACTCTTAACTGTGTTCAAATTTAGCCAACATTGCCATAGCAATGGTGGTTTTTGTTTGTTTTGTTTTTTGAGACAGAGTTTCTCTGTGTATAGCCTTGGCTGTCCTGGGCTCACTTTGTAGACCAGGATGGCCTTGAACTCCCAGAGACCTGCCTGCCTCTGCCTCCCAAGTGCTGGGATTAAAGGCATGTGCCACCACAGCCCAGCTTCCAATGTTAGTTTTGAGTTCCCAAAGTGAGGTCCTATAAGAAGATCCACACAATGGCAGGAACCTTCTGATCTGGACAAAGCCAGGAACCTCCACGAAGAATGGAGCCTCTTGTGCCCTCCTCCCCTCTGCTTCAAAAAAAAAAAAAAAAAGAGAGAGAGAGAGCTGGGGACAGGGCTTGGGGAATTGGGGGACCCATGATCATAATAGGTGAGGCATTGGCCAGGCATGGTGGCAAATGTCTTTTATCCCAGCACCTGGGAAGCAGAAGAATTGGATCTCTGAGTTCAAGGCCAGTTTGGTCTACACACTGAGTTCCAGAACAGTTAGGGCTTTTCAGAGAGACCCTGTCTCAAATGAATAAAATAAACAGATAAATAAAGAAATAATACTTGAGGCACTGTAGTCAGAATGGTGGATTTGGCTGCCTAGCACCCTCATCTGCCTCCCAAGGTTTGCCCTTGTTTCCAAGATGACCTGACGCTGACTCTGGCACACTAACTGAGCTCAATAAATATTATGGATGAATGAATTCCCTGAAAGTGTCTTATTGTCACCCATTTTACAGAAATGTCAAGGTCATACTTGGAAGACTCAGAGGTTGCCCCCTGAGTCGTGGTCCAGGGCACCATGACCTAGGAAGAGGAACAACCCTGGAGCAGTGTCAAGGCAGAGGGTGGGTATCTGCCAGCACAGTGTGGACAGAGGGTCCAGTGCCCAGGAAAAGGAGATGGGCTGGGCTGTCATGCTGGATCAGAGGGTAAGTGCTATAGCCTGAGTTTAGTCCCTAGAACCCTTGCAAGGTGGTTTATGACCTCCACATACATGCCATGGTGCACACACACACACACACACACACACACACACACACACCCCAATAATAATAATCATAAATATAATAATTCTTTTTTAAAAAGGAGATGGGAAGAGACTTATTAGAAGAGAATCTACCCCCATTATCCTGTCCTGTGAGGTTTCTTTACTTTTTTCTCTTTCTTTACTTCTTCCCCCTCCCCCCATCCTGTTTTTTTCTTTTCTGTTCTTTTTTTCTGGGGGGGGAGGGGGGGAGACATAGCCCTAGCTATCCTGGAACTCTCTGTGCAAACCTGGTTAGCCTTAGTCTCACCTGCCTCTGCCTCCTGAATGCTGGGATTAAAGATATGAACTACCTGGCTTACCATAAGGTTTCTTAAAGCCCACTGTAGGCAGTGATAGGTAGGAAGGCACCAAGGTAGTAATTAGCAGATTCTGGGCAACTGATGGGCTCTGACACCATTAGGACTGGAAATGAAGGGCCTTCTGCCTCTACCCAGCTTTCACATTGCCCACTTACCTTTTTGTAGGCTATGCCAGCTCCTAAGTGTAAATTCAGATACAGCTCTGGGGTCCCTGCCTTAAGGGAGCCTTCCTGGATCTCTGGACCACCATCAGTCTGAACTTCTCTCCATCCCATCGGCATTGCCAGCTAAAGACCCCTTTTTGGTCCACCCACTCATCCAGGTTGAGATGGAGGTAGATAGGACTGAAGGGGGGTGCTATTTCTGAGACTCCATCCCCCAATCAGTGGGCTGAATAGTGGCCTCCAAAAACATCCATGTCCTAATCCTTGGATTATACCTATGTGGCAGAATAGACTTTCAAGGATCTAAAAATGGGAGGCTGTGACTGGTGAGTTGGCCTGTAACCCCAGTGGCTCAGAAGGCATGAAGGACTCCACACTCAACAAGGACAGCCTGGAAAACTCAGTGAGAAACTGTCTTAAAAATAAAAATCCAAGCCAGGTATGTTAGTGTATGCCTTTAATCCCAGAACTCAGGAGGTAGAGACAGGCAGATCTCTGAGTTCTTCAAGGCCAGCCTGCTTGGTCTACAGAGTGAGTTCCGGGATAGCCAGGGCTACACAGAGGACACTCCCCCCCCCCCCAAAAAAAAAAAAAAAAAACCCAACCAAACAAACAAACAAAAAAAAAAAAAAACTGGGAGGCTGAAGAAATGGCTCAGTGGTTAAGATCACATTGTTCTTGCAGAGGACCCAAGTTCCATCCGCTGCACATCCAGGGAACTCACAACTGCCTGGAACTCCAGCTTCAGGGAACAGACTTCTACCGCATCCTTGGGCACATACACAGACACATATTTTTAAAAATATAAAAATAAAAATATAAATACAAATTCAAAAGTTACTGGACATGCAGGTAGACCAATAGAAGAATGCTTGTTTAGCAGTCATAAGGTCTTGGGTTCAATCCCCAAGCATTCTACACCCTCCACAAATCTTGACTTGAGTAATTGTCTTGGATTATCTAGCCAAAAATATTAGGAGTCCAGTGTACTCAACATTTTTATAAGTAAAAGAAAATAGTCCCAGGTCAAGGAAAATTGGAAATGTATTGCTGGCTTTGAGGGAACCATAAACCAAGGAAGACAGTCTAGAAGCGGGAAAAGCTTAAGAAATAGATTCTCTCTGAGTCTTCAGGAGGACCTGGGACTGTTGGCTTCCCAATTTTATTGATTGATTGTTGATTTTTATTTTTCAACAGGATCTCAGGTAATTAGGCTGGCCTCAAACTCACTATGCAGCTAAGAGTGGCCTTGAACTCCTGATCTTTCTGCCTCCACCTTTCACCATCTTTCAAGTATTGGGATTCCAGACCTGCACCAGCACATGTAGACACCACACTTAGGCACCTCAGTTTTAGCCCTGTGATAGGATCTCAGGCTTCTGGAGTGCAGAACTGTGAGGTAATATATGTGGTTCTAACACATGTAATTGGTGGTAAATTGTTAAAGTAGCCAGAGAAAAGCAACACAAAACATCCATTCTGCTCCTGCTGGACCAGCCTGTGAAGCTGGGCAGTGGCCCCAGTAATCCAGTGCATTGATCCCAGCCTCTATGCGTGACGTTGACACCTGAGTGTGAGCCAAGAACTGGTCTGAGAAGATACACCCTTTGGTTCCCGAGGTTCTTCCTCCCTCTTCCTACCTGGAAGAAGCAGCTGAGTTGCTCCCACAGGCATGCCAGCGCCCATGGCAGCTGGGAGCTTACAAGCTTAGCATGCTAATGGGCATTCCCAGACTGCCTCTTGGTCATTCATGATGCTGTCACACCCCAGCAACTGTTCTGTATCAACTGATGCTTGGTGCTGAGGACACACAATAAACCACACAGAAGCCTCCAGACACATAGAAGTCACATTTCATTCTGGAAAATGCTGCCCACCCTTAACACAGTGTCTCAGGTCAGATGAGGTGAGGTAGAATATGGGTTTCAGAGGCCTGTGGTCAGCTTGTGGTCTAAGCCCAGAAGGCTTTTGGTAGGAAGAAAGGAGCCATCTTCCGTAGAGGTGAACACTGGAAAAGCTTAGACGTTAGTTGAGGAAGGAAGGCTGAGCAGAGCTAATGGAGCCCCGGAGAAGGGGGGGGGGGAATGGGTTTTGACTGCGATCAGGACCAATATCTCTCAGGTTAGCTAGGGAGGGCCAGAACCTTCCCTAATGAATGTTTCATCTGAGCTACAGGGGGGGCCTTGGTTCTCTAAGCTGTGATGACCACAAATGTTCCACAAAGTATTGACTAGGACCCAGAAACCAAAGCTCAGAAGAGAAGTCAAGGTTCCAAGACCAGTTGGAGAATTACTTTCCAAATGGAAGCCAGTCTTCAGTAGCCGGATCACTCCAAGTTTTCCAACTAGTCTGGTGGGCAGGTGCTGAAGTTTATAGACAGGCTGTGGACAGCAAGACCCATGGTCAGAATAGTAACAGCAGTTTTATGCTCCAAAGATGGGGGCCCCAGGATCCTGCTGAGAGCCCAAAGGATGAGTGGACCAGATCCTTCAGTTTCCAGAGCTGACCAGGAATGTCTCCACCAGGGGGCTGTGGTGATGATAATTTGAAGTGCTCCTAACAGCACTGCACCAAGAACAAGGCAATGATGTCCTGACAGTCCCGTGTAGATAACACTAGGAAAGAGGCTTCCACAGAGATGAACATCAGGGGTTTCCGATCTACATAGGTATGCGGTTCAGAAGTAAACATCAGCAAGACTTACTAGAGTCATGGCCAGGCGACCTTCAGCTGGATGGTCATGGCAATCAGAGATGCTCTCAGAGGATTCTTGTAGATTGACAACAGTGGTTTGAAAGAGTTCATGTCTATCCAGTCCCCGATATGGAGAAATGGGCGTTTTAGTGTACATTCTGTTAATGCCCTCCAGGTTGACACAGAAGTCATCAGGCCCGGGAGACAGGGCCTGTAGCACGGAGGCATTTATTGCTGCAGTTACACCCTCTTCCCATAAACCAATGCCTGTGGGTCCCAGCCAAGGTCAGTTTTTGCCTTTGGTGTTTGATCTGTTGGTGTATCCGGAATTCCTTGTGTCTCTACTACTGGATTCTTGGCAGCCTCCTCAAGCTCCGGTGTGTCCTTCTTAGCCTCTGGTAGAGTATCGTCCAGGTCAGACTTCGTGGGGAGGGATGTCCAGGCGTGGGTCCAGGGCGCCACTGGCGTGGGCCGCGGTGGGACCCAGAAGCCATTTTCAGGGGCCAACGCCACGATCTGAGGCCGCGTGGAGCTAGAGGTGGTGACATGAGGAATGAGGAAGAAAATATAGACACCAGAGACCACGAGGCCCGCGGCCACCAGCACTGCCAGCGCCACCGCTGCGTTGAAGGCCCATGCTGGACTGCTCAGGGACAGGCGACGCGACAGAGGGCGGCCGAGGCGCAGCGGAGGTGGAGGCGGCGGGGCGCGCACTGTGCGGCTCTTGCGTGGCCCTGGAGTTGGTGGCGGTGGCCGCAAGTACAGAAGGCCCCGGCGGCGGTCGAAGCGCACGGAGCCCTGACGTGGTACTGCTGCTCGAGCATCGCGAGGCAGCAGACCGGGCTGTGTGGGCAGAGCGGGCAGCCCCCGCCTCGGGGCCAAGCGTGTGGGCGCCCGGCACATGGGACAAGCCACTGCGTCGCCGCCACCCGAAGTAGCCAGCGACAGACGTGCCAGGCACTCGAGACAGAAGATGTGGCCACAGTCCAGGCGTTTAGGCAGCTTGAAAACTCCATCGAAAGGTGACACGCAGATAAGACATTCCATGGGTGATGAGGGGGCCAGGATGGGGCCTGAGCCAGGGGTGCCATCACCCTCCTCCTCCGCGTCCTCATCTTCGCCTCTGCTAGGGGAGCTAGGTGCAGAGAGGGTACCTGGGGAAACGGGACCCGAGCCCTGGGAGGCCCGGTGGCGGCGGAGCCAGGGCAGCCGAGGACACGGCATCTAGATTGGACCTATGGGGAGAAAAGCTCAGGTAGTAACCTGGCGTCTGTGTCGAGTTGACAAGATTTCAGAGAGGAGCAGCGAGAATGAAATTATGCACAGCAGGCCTAAAGAGGCAAAGAGGACAGGGAGACCTTGGTTGGACCCAGTCCCCAAAGGTCTAGACAAACGGCAGTAGACCGAAGCAGCTTTAAAGATGTGGAGGATCCACCTCTCTAGGGAGATACATGAGGACTAAACACCAGACTGGGCTAGAATGGCCCCACAGGGAGCAGAGCAGTCAGTATTGAAAAAAGTCCTGACCAGCCTCCCCAGTATTAAAGAGGAGCTTAAAACCTGAGAAGCAAAGCAGGAAATCCAGGTTGTGAGAGGTAACTCCCCAGGTACATGACTGACTCTAGCCAGTGTGCAAGGGATCCTACCTGTTGGCACTTGTGGAAGATCGTGGTCTCTTCTGTTCTGACCCAGTTTCTGGCTTGTCTGCTACTAGGGAGGTAACTGCCCCTCCCCGAAGGAGTGTATCTGTTGCTGGACCAACCCTCTCTGTGTTCCCACATACTCGTCAAACCTGCCTTGTTACCTGCCCCGCCTCCAGGCCCCTCCTACTAGGATGAACAGACTGATCTATACCAGAGGCCTGCTGGAAGTAAAAGGTCCAAGAACCACACCGATCAGCCTTCAATACTGAGCTCCTGGGGTGTGTGCGGCCCTACACTAGGACACTAAGGGGCTAGCTATCTGGATCCTTGGATAGACCTCGAACAAGGACTATTTGAAACAGAAGCTAGGGAAGACTGAAAGCACTCTGGCTTAAGCACCCCAGGCTGCCCCCCCCCCCCATTTTGCTGGGTCACTGGGAAAATACAATCCACATGGGTCAACACTGCCCAGATAGTGAGCTCCCCCTACAGCCGTGAGAAGAAACCTAGCCCCCCAATGACAGACAAAGTAGAACTGTCCAAAAAGGTACACAGTTTATTAGGCAGCAGCTGGGAGATCAGCGGTTTGACTTGGCCACACGCTCCAATTCGTCTTTCTTCTTGATGGCATAGGAGTTGGAGGAGCCCTGCAAGGACAGGTGGTTAAGTCTGAATGCTAGACAGGTCCCCAGAGCCAAACCCAACCCTTGTGCCCTGACCCACCTTGGCAGCATTGATGAGCTCATCTGCAAGGCACTCAGCAATGGTCTTGATGTTCCGGAAAGCAGCCTCACGAGCACCTGTGCACAGCAGCCAGATGGCCTAGACGAGAAAGGCAAGGCTCATGCCTCAAGAAGGTCCCAGTTCTCTGGAAATCACCTCAACAGGTATCTGCTACTCACTACACGCTGCCCACCCAAAAATTCATGGGCCCCCAACTAAGAAGACACTTAAGAACCGTGGCACTCCATGATGGGACACTGTGCCTTGCAGAAGCACTTAGTGGCATACTGGTCCTGCACTATAGTACTCAGGCATCAAGCAATCCATCTAGTGCTAAACTACAGGTACCACTCAACACTAAGAATGAGATGAACCAGACCAGGGAGAAGACTGGAGTCCCATCTGCCTCACACAGGGTGGAAATCCAGGAAGGTTTCCTGGAGGAAGTGAGGCTCCTGGTAAAGCCCGAAAGACAGAACTCTACCCACTCCTGCTGGTGGTTCCTGCTCCACCCTTCACAAGCCTCCGACCCACCTGATTCACTCGGCGCAGTGGAGACACATCCACAGCCTGCCGTCTCACTGTCCCAGCTCGCCCAATTCGTGTTGAGTCTTCCCGGGGGCCACTGTTGATGATGGCATTGACCAAGACCTGCAGAGGGTTCTAGCAGAAAAAAGGGCCATAAGCCTCACATCCACACCCAACTTCCTCAAACCTTAACAAGGTGACAGTGTCACACAGGTGATCAATCTGGCATGTATACCGTGAAGCTTGGCATGAATCAAGGGCAAGCCTTACCTCACCAGTGAGCAGGTGGATAATCTCAAAGGCATGCTTGACTATTCGAACAGTCATGAGCTTTTTGCCGTTGTTCCGACCATGCATCATCATGGAGTTAGTAAGGCGCTCCACGATGGGACACTGTGCTTTGCGGAAGCGCTTGGCGGCATACCGTCCTGCACTGTGGGGCAGGTACTTGGCATACTTCTCCTTCACAGCAATGTAATCCTGGAGTGGCAAGGACAGGAGCATGAAGAACAGTTTGGAATGGGACCAGCCTAAGAGGATCAGAGGAGAACCAAGGCATGGCAATGTCCCAGCAGGCTGTGACCTACAGGAGCCTTGAGAAAATAAAACTGAACCAGTGACTGCTTAAGTCACACACCACAAAAGGGGAAAGTATTGTCCTGCTGAGCTTACACTTTTATATCCCAATACTAGAGCAGACAAGAGGATCTCTAGCAGTTCAAGACCAGCCTGGTCTATAGGAGTTTCTGGACAGCCAGGGGTATATCACCAAGACCTTGCTCAGGGAGGAGAGAGGGAGAGTAGTTTCCTTTAATATGGAAGCAAGGGGTTTGATTTTACAAGACCCAGGTTCAATTCCCAACAACCACACAGCAACTCACAACTTCAATAGATTGATAACCTCATTGACAAAACACGTAAAAGTAGATAAGTCATCCAAAAATTTTACTATGTACATTTTATTAAAATAAATTGAGACAGTCTGGAATTCACTATGTAGTACAGGCTGGTCTCAAACTTGAGACCCTGAGTGCTGGTCTTAAAGGCATGTACACAGATTCAAGATGCTGTAGGCACTCTGGATCAGACAATCCTCAGTGAGTAAAGGGCTGTCCTAGGTACTTAAGGACACTTGGCAGATTATTCTGGACTACAGGATGAATTAAAAGAGATCGACTCACTGTGCTCTATGAGACAAAAACACACGATCTTAACCCTTACCCAAAAATTGTTTAGTGGTAGTGTGTTGGCCTACCAGGTGAAAATCCTCAAATTTTTTTGGGGGAGGGGGAGACTCCAAACATAGGAAACGACCCACCAGATAGGACTGAATATTCTTTAGATATAATGCCTAGGTCCTGTTGTATTCTTTTCTCCTTTATTTCCTGCACCCATGCAAGTCAGGGGACAACTTGCAAAAGTCAGTTCTTTCCTCCTACCTGTGGATTCCAACGGTTAAGCTTTTGTCAGGCCTGGTGGCAACTGCTTTACAAGCAGAGCCACCCCACAGGCCCTTTCTGTGTTATCTTTGGAGGTTAACAGACATACTTTAATTCCTTTGAACAGAGACAACTGGCCTTAAGAGTGCTTGCCTTGTACAAAACCCTGAGTTCAATTTCTAGCAGTCGATAAAACTGGATTTGGTGATATACACCTTCAATCCCAGTACTCAAGAGGCAGAACACAGATGATTAGCTTTTTCTACTAGACAAGGTTTCAGGCCAGCCTCAGACATATGAGACTGCCTCAAAAGGGGCTGTAAGGGCAAAAGCAAATAGTTTAAACACCTTAATTTCTACCTATACTAATACAAAAATAAAATAGCACCCACACACCTATAGCCAATTGACATGGGGAGGGGGGAGCAGGGAACATCTCACTGTTTAGCTCCAACTGGCCTCATACTCAAACTTCTCTTGTAGCCAGTAGCAACAGCTTACCAACCAACTTTGACATGGATGTCATCACTGTTCAGTAGGTTAAAGCTATCTTCTCAACAGATATCTGCTAACTGAATCTACAAATGAAAAATGATACCACACCAGGTACTGTGGTACATGCCTTTAATCCCAGCACTTGGGAGACAGAAGCTGGAGGATCTCCCAGTTCCAGGCCAGCAAGGACCTTGAGGGGGGCGGGGTGGGGTGAAGGCAAAACAGTAACAACTTTTGGTGCAGGCTATAATAGGCATGGGTGTGGCTGTCCACTTATTTGGCTTCTACCTGTCTTAAACACTAACTAGTTTAAACCAAGGTGTCATGTGTCCTTTTCTGAACTGGAAGAATTCCCACCTGCTCCTACTGAAAACGCTAGGAAGACCAACCAACAAGTTTCCTTTTTACCTGTAGAGAAATGTCATTGATTTGCACATCATCAGTGCTCCATTTTCCAAAGAGCTTGATGTCTGGGGTCTCTGCCACCGCTGGTGTGGCTGTCTCCCACTCAGTCATTCTGGGGATAGGATAATGGCAAAAAGAAACAGTTATTGCCCAGTCATCCTGGAGCGGTCACACTCACTCCAAACTCTCTATGACTAATTGCCATTTTGTGGCAAATCAGGAAGTTAAGGGGCCCTAGGAAGCTTTGAATAGGAAAAAGCACTCAGCCATAGTAAATATTTGCACTTTATTCAGGGGCTCCAAAGTCTAAGAGACAACAGTCACCAACCTAAACAGCTGATACATGGAACACTGTATGATCGCTCATGAAGCCATGCAGATAACTATCATCATCCGTCCTGGATCAAACTCCCACTGAGCATTTATAAAGCTTTCATCCTAGGGACATCAACTAGTTGCTTTCAACGTTCCATTAATAAGATATGGCAATAAGGACCAGAGTATGAATCCAGATGAATATTCAATACAAATGTTTCCATCCTTGTCTGGCTCAGGGTAGAAACTTGGGACTGTTAGCGATAAAGAAAAGTGTACTGGACAAAACAGTCGTCATAAAAACAAGTGAACCTAGATTTTCGACCGCGGTACGTAACCCAGGAAACCAAGTGACTTCCTTAGAGTTCTGATTGTGAAAGTCTGGAGTCAACACAGTGCAAACACGAGGCGAAGAGTAACTCGGCCCGTGCCGAGTTTCCTAGACTCCCTTTTCCGGAGAGAAGAGGTGAAGTGCAAACGGGAAGGCCGAGGCCTTGGGTCCCGCTTCCAGTTCCCCAGATGCCCTTCAGAACACTCAAGGCCCCCCCTTTTAAACTCTATGTCCTCTCGCAGCCTCACCTGAGGGCGCAGACCGGGCTTGTCGGTCGCTCGGCGTGCACCACGCGCCGTCCAGGCACAGACAGGAAGAGGCCGCGCGCAGCAGGTCAGCACTTTT